GTTCAATCATAAACCTAAAAGACATGCAATACTTTATCAAAAATTGTCAATATAAACTCTCCAGCATTATCCAGTCTCCCGGACCTTAAGGGATAAGTAAGGTGGTGAACCCTTAATCAGCCAGGGGGTTAGCAGCAATGCGTGTGGACAAACATGTGACCAGTTTGTCGATTTATCAACCAAAATCATAAGTATTTATATGGTCCGCATTTTTGTTTGGAAAATTAATTTTCCTAATGAACAGGTTTGGCAAAATGTGTTTGTAGGCACAAGATCCTTACTTTGGGTAAAGAGATGCGTTATAGCATCATTGTTTGACCTAAGTGTCCCAAATGGTCGTGTCAAAGCAAGTAAACTGCTCAATCACTAGGCTCCAGGCCGACCACATGTGGCCTGTTCCCAGTTGGGAGACAATTTATTGGCCCTAAATCAAAGCTTCGGGCTTATTTTTAGAGGTGGTGCAAAGGTATACAGCTCTATTTTCTTCAGTGATTTCATTTAAGATCATTGTCATCTCAAATATCCTTAAAAACCCAAAACGGTGAGAATATAAGGTCTCTTAAATGGTAATGTAGTACCATTCATACAACGAAGAGTGTGCCAATGCTCTTAATCAGGTTAGATAAACCTAAAGTTGTTGCTAGAGATGTGATTTAGGTGTAAAGTTAGTGTGCGTAGTATCGCATTCATCTAGACAACTAACTTTCCCACATTCCCACCTAATCACGTGTTTAATTGAATTTGGTCACATGTATACAAGAAACATGACTCAATTAACTCATGTTCGATGACAATATCAATAAGATTATCCATAACTAAAACATACACCAAACTTAAATCCAAGAACATGGAAAAATGTTCACAAAGTAAGCCAAACTTACTATGGTGGGCCATTCATGCCAAAATCTGCTCTTCTAATGGTGTTTGGTGGAGCAAAATTAGTCTCACATATTGACTACTAGAATGGTACTCCTTAACAACATTGGTAGGGGCACGAGTAAGTGCATAACCAATGATCTATTCCATCAAGACGGAAGTAGATTTTGCAGGGTTAAGGTGTGGGAATACTATCCCTTATTCTTGAAGTTTTAGGTCTTAGGTGCCAAGGATCATGCTTCGGGCATGATGCCACGCCTTGGCAGGCCCTGATTCTACCATAGGTTGTAAAAACAAACTTGAAATTGGAGTGTGAGAGACAGACCCAAAATTGGATTCAGTAGGCCTCTGCCAAAGTAGAGCATGCCCTTCGGTGCATCCCTACCAAAGTAGGGCACCACCATTCGATAGGTTTTGGCCAAATTGGGTCAAGCTATTCAATAGACTCCAGCCGAACCTAGGTCTATACCGTTCGGTAGACTCCAGCCGAACTGAGTCTAACCATTCGGTAAACTCTAGCTGAAGCTGGGTCTATACCTTTCTTTCACGTTTATGATAGTAATCAGATCCATGAATATGGTAAACTTCTGCTTTCTACACTTGCTACTTAATGAGCGAGGTAGAAACATGGAAGGACGAAGTATTTTCTTAGTCAAAATTCGATCGGATTTATAAATTGTAGAATTGTACTCATTTATGGACGTAAACATGGTGTGCTTTAGGCAATGTATTTCATGATTAGACAGTCCTTAAAAGCAAGCCAAAGAGCCAAGGAATCCTCATTCGAGAGGTACTTCCATGGTTAATGCTTTGGGCATAAATCTTCGAATGAAGATCATGACGAAAGCTTATTCAACTCTTCCATTTCATTGTTGGCTACAATGGTTTCTCAGCTTCTTGATAGTCAAGTGGAGATTCATGTCTTGTACCACACATAAAGTGGCTTCTATTAGAAACGACCAAATCAGGAAAATCGAACTTGTGACGGTTCGACAATCCACTAAATGCAATATACAACTAAGTGTAGTGGATTTGGGTTGCTTCTGTCACATCCCGGCCCGGGGCGGATCACTTCCCGAGCCCGCTCCACCACCGTAGCACGATATTGTCCGCTTTGGGCCCCCACCACGCCCTCACGGTTTTGTTTCTGGGAACTCACAAGAGAACTTCCCGATGGGTCACCCATCCTGGGAGTGCTCTCGCGCGCTACTCGCTTAACTTTGGAGTTCCTACGGAACCCAAAGCCAGTGAGCTCCCAAAAGGCCTCGTGCTAGGTAGGATAGGAATATACATTTAAGGATCACTCCCCTGGGCGATGTGGGATGTCACAATCCACCCCCCTTAGGGGGCCCGACGTCCTCGTCGGCACACCACGACGAGGGTTAGGCTCTGATACCAAATTGTCACATCCCGACCCGGGGCGGATCACTTCCCGGGCCCGCTCCACCACCGTAGCACGATATTGTCCGCTTTGGGCCCCGACCACGCCCTCACGGTTTTGTTTTTGGGAACTCATACGAGAACTTCCCGATGGGTCACCCATCCTGGGAATGCTCTCGCGCGCTACTCGCTTAACTTCGGAGTTCCCATGGAACCCAAAGCCAGTGAGCTCCCAAAAGGCCTCGTGCTAGGTAGGGATGGGAATATACATTTAAGGATCGCTCCCTGGGCGATGTGGGATGTCATAATCCACCCCCCTTAGGGGCCCGACGTCCTCGTCGGCACACCACGACCAGGGTTAGGCTCTGATACCAATTTGTCACATCCCGGCCCGGGGCGGATCACTTCCCGAGCCCGCTCCACCACCGTAGCACGATATTGTCCGCTTTGGGCCCCCACCACGCCCTCACGGTTTTGTTTCTGGGAACTCACACGAGAACTTCCCGATGGGTCACCCATCCTGGGAGTGCTCTCGCGCGCTACTCGCTTAACTTTGGAGTTCCTACGGAACCCAAAGCCAGTGAGCTCCCAAAAGGCCTCGTGCTAGGTAGGATAGGAATATACATTTAAGGATCACTCCCTGGGCGATGTGGGATGTCATAGCTTGAGGAACTCAAGTGTGAGTGCTTCGGGATTACGAAAGGGAGTCAACGATAAGAAATAATTTATTAAAGCGTTAATTGCCAACAAGTGGACTTCAGGCCAATAATTTTGGATTAATTGTCAGATTAATGGACTGCAGGTCACTTTTAATTAATTTAATAGATCAGGACCATTTGAGGTCAATCGTAGAAGCAAAAATAAAACTTATCTAGGCACATTTATTGTTTAATGTTGGCTATAGCCACACAAGAAATTTAAGGCCCTAATTAGGCTCAGGTTAGCTGCATTGGGCAGCCCAATAACAAGCAAAGCAAGTCTACATGCTTGCTATGATGTCACCAGCCGAAAAAAAGGGCGCAGGGGTCAGCAAGCCCAGCTTTTGCTGGCTCGGGCTGGTGCGCAACGAAGCTCAGAGTGAGCTAACTTCAGGTTTTGGGTTGGAGTGAGGCAAGCCTAGCAGCTTAGGTTCTGCTGCGGGCGGGCCGTGACATGTGGTAAGGCCTAGCAAGCATCAGGCTTGGGAGAGTGGGCCAGCGTGCAATGGGTAAAGTCCAGCAACTTGTGTGTGTGTGTACACAATATAATAGAAAGTATACTTTATATTTTATTATTTTTAATCCCACAAATTATGAGTTTTATTTAAAATCTCATTAATATAAACAAATACAAATTTTAATTTTTAATTTTTAATTTAAAAACTATAGTAACTAACATTATTATATTAATGTCAAGGATTTTGATCAAAAACTAAAAACAGACAAGGTTTCAATCAAAGAATATTGATAGTTAGGGATCGCATCCAAAATGTCCCTCAAGAAAAATTATATAGACTGAGAGCAACTTGTTTGCTTCGACCATCGACCAAGTCATCGCGATTGACACTGGATAAAACAATACAATCAACACCCCAGTTGGCAACGGCGGTGGGATCGGGAGATGAAGGGTTCTAGCTGATCTTGACGCTGGCTCTTCCCTGTCTTCGTACTCCTCTATATCTCTCTCTCTCTCTCTCTCTCTCTCTCTCTCTCTAGAAGTATTCATTTGGGCATGGATTTGCTTCATATAGTCCATGGAATTGCAGTTTTCAAAGAGAGGAATTCGTTGGCAAGTGGCCTTGCATGCACTTTGTTAGGTTTTTTTTCTTCTTTCTTTTCTTTCTCTTATCATTATCATTAAATAAAATTATTAAATAAATTTTATTTAAAATTTAAAATTTTGAAGCCTTTTTAATTAATTTCTTTAATAGTTAATATAATAAAATAAGGGAATTGCTATTAGCACTCCAAAAATCTCATTCTACACTCCAAACTTTCTATATTTGGAAAGAAAAATACACTTGTGAGGAGTGTAGAATGTAGATTGAGATTTTTGGAGTGCTAATAACACTTCCCTAAAATAATAGTTTAATTTTATATATCTAGATCTAGTGAAAAATAAAATATTAAAAGATGTCAATGCATATCTATCGAATATAAAATTAAAATTAAAACTTGACAGCTCTTAAATGCTTCCATGTATTTCACTCTTTCTAGAAACAATCAATTTCTTTTTTCTTTTTCTTTTTTTAATCAAACATATATATATATAACTGAAAAATAAAAATAAAAATAAAAATATTTTGAATAAACGATATTATCCATATTAGGAGTGAGAGAGTGAGTTAAGTCTCACAATAAGCTAGTTAAATGTGATTCAAAATTATCTTTAACGATAATCGAACCTAAAACTCTCACTTACAAATGAATGGGAGTACACTAAACCGTAGTACTAAGTGGCAATAAAAATAAATATAATCTTAAATTGAATCAGATTATGCCAGATCCAGATTTGTTCCGTTAACGGGTTAATGGTTTTGGAACTTTAATCGGATTATCGGATTGTATCCGTAGACCCATCTCCAATAAATTGTACCTGATAGGATCCGGAGCTCCATCGACACGCCTACTTGTAGGTTGCATACAGGGTAGACTCGTTTGGTTCAACCCATATGGGTTTTGCTTGTCCTTTGTACGTATAAACCCTTTGTGACGGTTTCTAGTCAGTCATTTCAGGCGCCAATTAAGGCCAACCGCGAGAGCATAACCGATCGCTTCTGACTTGGTGACTTTGTAGGCAAACATGATTGAAGACGACATGGCGAGCTGAGTAAGGGAGAGGAAATTGGGGTTTTGCTGTTCTTGAGAGAGGCTTTCGTGGTTCTCGTTTGCTGGATTGGAGTCCAAATTCTAATAGTGATTGGATCGGGCTGCGGTCGAGTTTCAAAATTTTTCCAGAAGGGTTTTGTCTTTGTGTGCCCTTCAGGTTGAAGAATGATCGAAGGGCTGCGGCTGAGAAAATTAGGGTTTGCTACAGACCAGTGAAAAAAAGTACAAAACTAGGGTTTGCTGCACTCTTCTTCGAATTCATCAAATTCCAGAATCTGTAGGCCCAAGGAAGTTGGAGGCGCATTCACGCATATGAGCTCGCACATGTTCAAACTGGCTTTATGCGATTAGGTACTTCGAAACAGCTTATTAATTTCAGAATCTTCGTTTTGGTTAATTGATGTTTCAGTGTTCAATTGAATAACATATTGGCTACTGCAAGTCGTAGTGAGAGTATGACTATGGTAGATAGATTCAGTGATCTCCCGATTGGAGTTACTCATCACATCCTTTCCTTCCTTAATATAAGGGACCTCACTTGTTTCAGCATTGCGTCCAAAAGATGTAGAGAACTTTATCTGTCAACTCTGTCATTGGATTTCGGTGATTTATTACCGAAGAGAACACCCAAGGGTTCCAGCCACGTTACATGTGAGTTTAGGTTGAAGTTGTTGAGTTCATTGGATAGGTTCTTGCTTAAACGTGGGGATAATAAGATAAAGTACTTTCGTCTGTTTTGGACCGGTCACTTAATCAAAACCAGAGATCGAACACCATGCTTCTGTGTTCATGAGAATTTTCGAATAGTCAATTTAATTCACAATGCAGTGAGGTGTAATGTTGAAGTCCTTGATATTTTTTTGGAGGAAAAGTTAGCATTTCCCTTTAGTGTCTTCCTTTGTGAAACTTTGAAGTCTCTGGTGATTAATATGCCTTCCGTTGTTAAAACACCTCCGGTTGCTTTTTCCTCCAACCTTGAATACTTGGAGTTGATGAATGTAGAAATAAAAGATGAGGGGTTTTTCAAGTGGATCTCATGTTCCTGCAAATCCATCAAGGAATTAATTCTTTGCGGTCTTGGTCGCATAAAAAATATCACCATTGAAAGCTCGTCCTTGGAAAAATTTGAACTATATGACGGCTTTTGTACCCCAATCCATCTTAATATCTCAGGTGAGAAACTTGAAACCATACGCGTTTCCTGGAGATTCCGTTCGTCTAAAGGCAAATCGTTAAATATTTTTGCTCCAAAACTTAGATATTTGTTTTGGAGGGGGAATGTGATGAAGAAAGCAAACCTGGGAAAATTAGAATGTGTAGAAGAAGCATCTATGTTTCTGGAGCCTAAAGCAGATGACTTTGACAACCTGTTAAAGGTTTTTTGCAGTATGCACAGGGTTGAATATCTTGTTATAAATGAAGCAACCATTAAGGTACTGAGAACGACAATCCTTCATTCTGAATATTACTTTTCCGACCTATATATTTTAACCTGACTAATCTTTTATTTCTCACTTGCTACTTGCTAGAATAAAATGATATACGTTTCCCATTTTATGTCATTGCAGGCTTTGTTCAGGGAAGGAGGATCCACACAAGCTCGATTCAATAACCTTTCGTATTTGGAAATGGATATTCGGAGCTTTTCTGATGAGCTAGTTCCTGCATTGGTCTCTCTTTTAAGAGGAATGCCCAATTTGTGTACTTTATACATAGGTTATCACTCAAGTCGTGACACCAAATCTGATGTAGGGGTTTAGTCTACGTTTTTCATTCTAAAGAATTTGTATGGTTTCTTTTCGTTTGGAATATTTCAATTGGGTTGCATGTTGACATTTTGCTTTTCCAGGCATCTAGGTTTGATGTGGAACACTGGAAGCTCCAACATCTGGAATTTATTCATCAAACTGAGGAGGTTACCATAGCGCTTTCCAGTGGGTCGAATGGGATTGAGTTTGCAAGGTACATACTCGAGAATGCCGAGAAGCTGGAGCAAATGACAATAATTCATTTACCCGAGCAATCTGATGCTATACAGAAGCTAAATGATAGTAAGATGATGTCCAAGGCCACAGTGATATTCAAGGAAGACAGCTAGATAACCAAGTTGTTTTGATGTTTTTCATAACTTTGTTTCATTTTATAATGTTGAAACCGTAAATTTAAATGGAAAGTAATACTCCAAAAATCTCATTATACACTCCTTACAAATATATTTTCTTTCTAATTATTGAAAGTTTGGAGTGTAAAATGAGATTTGGAGTGCCAATAATATTTCTCATTTAAATTACCTATAAAAATTAGGCGAAAAGACAATTTTGTCTTCTTTCACTAAATAAAATTATAGGCGGTAATTTAGTTTTGCACAGACCAAATTTTATTTTTCTTCAAACATCACTCACATGTCATCATAGCATCTCTCATTAAAATACAAAAAAAAGAAACTCACATTTTCTCTATTTCTTTTACATTTCTCTTTCATATATCTTGTATAAATTAAATTTAGAGTTTGCAAAGCAAAAGGGCATAAAAGGCTGGCATGAGAAGAATATATGTTTTGATGTCAAATTTAAAACATGAAAATGAAATTTGATGGCCTATGTGGTAGTTTGACGTTTTGTATAATTTTTTGCTCCACTCGATATGTTAAATAATAATGTCATTTTATAATATATATTTTTTTAATCTCTTTGTGGGTTCCAATTATTGAGATAACCAACCAAATTCTTGGAATACAAATAACATTTATTATATATTGCTTCACAATTATTAAAAAATTATAATATAAATTTGATACCTGCTGTCAAATTTGACAGCAGAAAATCTTGCCTACAAATGACTCAACGTCACGTAGGAAACTGAAAGCTCGGTTGGAAAGAGTTTGCTGCCATTTTTTACTATTGTATATCTGTTGACCCTAAAAACTACCACGCCTACATGGCGCGCAGGCCAAGTAATTATTAAGTTAACTACGTCATTCGGTTATCTGCGGGGCGTGCCAACTCGTTGGCCGAGCTCAATCGGGAGTAAAATATGTTGATGTTGCGTTGAGCGTGCTGCTGACTTCTTGATCTCGCGACTGCGGCCGAGGAAGGAACACGTCTCGGCCTTCGGATTCTAGAGCCTGAAGACAAGGCTATTAGTTTTGTGAAGTTCAATATCAAATTTGGCTTTCAATGTGCCGAATGTAGTAACTTGGTAGCACCTCACTTCGCCGAGAAGGCTGATGAGATGACCTCTACCAACAAGGGCTCGAAAATCCTTGTCGACGGAGACTTGGATAGGTAATCAGTCGGCCGAAGCAGTGCTGTTTATCCAAACTAAAGGTGCTTCTTGATCAACTGATTCTACAGCTCCAGTGCTGTTTATCCAAACTGAAGATGTCGCCGGTTGCCTTCACAGTGCTGTTTATCCAAACTGAAGATGTGTCGGCGGGAAAAAGAAAATAAAAATCTCAAGGTTATTGAGAGGTTTCGCGTAGAGCGAGAGTTTGCGCAAGGCAGTTTGTGTGTTGAATTGGCAGGGCTTCCAAAATGTTGCACGGTGGCTTGTATTTATTGCAACGAGCATGCTCTTGGCCGAACTAGAGATGTACTTGGACTAGGACTCCTCAATCCGATCCAATTAGGCTTCGGCCAATCCTAGTTCCAACAGGACTTTGAACCAAGCTCTATAATGAACCAGATTCATTTCCTAATTCTCAGCGCCTTCAGCTTCGAGACCCGTCATTGTACCAGGATTAGATCGCTTTTCCTTTATTCGAATCAATTATTCTCACAATAGGACTCAGTCAACCTAATTGGGCGGCCTATGGCGGCTGGATGGCCCACAATACTTTTGGAAGAGTACTGAGCCGAGAACAAACCTAGGCTCAACCCAATAATATTATTTTGGGCTCAAACATTGCCCCCTCGCGTCTCAGGTCTTCGGCCTGCAAATCTTGGTCGAACTCTAACCTTGAACAAGCGAAATCGCCTCCTTAGCATATTACTAAAGGACATCGAGAAACCTCGAATTTCACGACCACTGAGATGCATTTATGGAGCACGATTATGCGATTTCAACCATGTCAGACCTTTTTGCCACGTGGCATCTTTCCGACATGTCTGCCCCTAATAATGACACTTGAGGAATGCGGTTTACGGAAACGTCGTTTCACCATAAACTCACCGCCAAATACAATCGTGTAACCTTGATTCGCGAATTTTTTGGCATCCTCAAGTTCGTGCGAGCACCGAAACATCCTTTCATCATAAAACTCACAGTCACACGCCATTATGCATCTTTAATCTGCAAGTTTTTCAGCTTCTTCGTTTAGATTCACTAAATATCCGTCATGATTACATAACATTACGGTTGAATCTACCCTTAGCTCTTCAAAATAAAACTATTGATCTTCTTCCTCAAAGCCTATAAATACCCAACTTTCTTCATTCAGACTTTTACGCTCTCAAGACTCTTAAATTTCTTTACCATTTGTTCTCAAACTCAGAAAACCAACCTTACTTTGAAACCCAGAAAACCTTCATCCTCTTCAATGGCTACCAACACTTTCATCACCAAGTTGTCGAGGAATGCAATAAATGTTAAAGCATCACTGATCGAAACACTATCAAAACCATAAATTTGAGGATGAGCCAAACACTTCTCACCAAACCCTCAGCCCTCTTTTCAAGGATAATGTTCTAGAAATGATTACCCAGATGCTCAAAGACCACTGCCTAAAACCCTTATTCTAAGGGTATGATTGGTCAAAATGGGATTTGGCCAAACCCCAAGGTGTCTGGCCCTCGATTACTGCATCCTGGGCTGCTTGGGTCACTCAGATAAAGCCATACTTTGACAACGAGTGGAAATCTCTTGGCATTTTTTATGCCATCAAACTCTCGACCATCGAGATAAACTTGGATAGAGAACTCATGATAGCTGTCTTAAGCTTCTGTTGCTCTGCCACCAACACAATGGTTTTCCCTCTTGGCCACCTTGGCCCAACGATTCTAGACATCTCGGCTATACTTGGCACATCTCCCACCAGCTTCCCGGTCGATATTTCTCTTACCGAGTATAAGTTCGACCTAGACCTGAAGATGGTCTTCAAAGAACGTGTCGTTGAAGCCCTAATGAAGGGTGACCAAAAGCCATCGAAAGAGGATGTGCAGAAACTATACAAGAACTTTTTCAACAACAAGACTCTGATCACCCACCTGAAGATGGTCTTCAAACAACGTGTCGTTGCCAACGTTCACGTCTTGACTCTCAGTCCAGCTGTCCTTGCCAACCTTACCAGGTGTTTGGCCGAAGAAACCTTGGGGAGAATCAACCCCCACCAAAACGACCCATTCTGGGTCTTCCAGCTCTGGCTGCAGGTTTACTTCTCGACACTGTGGCCAAAAATCCCAAGCTTCAGTTCCTCTAAAGCGATGGGTCTGGAGCTGGCTTCACGCCCCATCCCTACTCACTCTGCCGAACAAATTTTCAGATATTTCTTCAACCTAGAAGATTTGTCCGACAACGAATTCCAAATCTGTTATCACTGGACATACCCATCCTCCCTCATTCTTCCACAATCAGCATGGGAAGCGGCCAAGGATGCCGATCATCGAAAGTCCTAGGGATCATTCATCATGACTCGTGACTTGCCATATGGTTGCAAAGCTCGGGCGAGGTAGTTGCGAGGTCTACCATCCTAATTTCCTAGCTCGCCAACTAGGCTATCTCCAAGGGTGCCCTTTGCCGTTCCTTTCTTCTCCCTCCCTTTTGAGTGGAAAGCGCATCTCCAGCTCTTCGGAAAGAGAATGCAAGATAGCCGAGAAGGAGTTCATCGAGCAGTGCACCAAATTCTGCCTTCGACCGAAAACCCTAGAGTCCCGATGTGCCAGCACCTTTGCCGACTGGTGGGATGCTTACACTAAGGATTTCTTCTATACACCGGTCGAAGAAACTCTTTGACAGCCATCCAAAGAAAATTCTTACACCGAAGTCCAAAGAAACGGCCTAAGGTATACAATTTTCCTTTTTACTTTTCTTGCTTGTTTATTTCGAATTTCTTTTTTATTCAAGTTCAGTGTTTTTAGGTGGCTGAACCATGAAAATGGCCGAGGTGGTTGCGATGGCCGTGGCTAAGAAAAAACTTGCCCCTCCTGTGAAAAAGACAGCAACTAATGTGACAACTCCGTCGAGCAAAAAGACCCCGCCAAGACGGCAGGAGACATTCCAGCCTAAAAAATGTGTCAAGCAATTGGCAAAGAAGGGGGAGCAGGAGATTCACGTTATCTCTAGCCACATTATGGGATCATCTGCTCCTAGCGTTTCTCTCCCTCCTCCCTGTCATGGAGGCCTAGACGAGAGGATTGCAAAATCCTCCAATGGATCAGGCAACTAAAATTCGCCCCACTATTCCGGCCATGGTCGAACCAACCGTCGCTCCATTGGTCGAGGGTCCTGCAACTCTGGGGCCGGTTGCTACTCTTTGGGTCGGCCCAGTAGCTACTGCTGTGGGGAAGGTAGCCACTCTGGCCAAGAAATGCCCTCCCCTAAAAAAGAAATCAATAATCGTCGTAGAAAAAGAGGTACGACCATTTTTGTCAACAATATCTTTTTTAGGAGACCCTTTTTCTGTCTAGGAGGATCAGAGTAAAGAACCTTTGTCGGTGAAGTGCCCCCGACCGGCCGAACTACCACCCACCAATCCTCAACCAGTGGTCAAAGCGGTTGGCCAAGTCAACCCTCCTGCTACCGAAGCGAATGCGGGGCATGAAGCGGTACCTCCTGTCAAAACAAAAGCGACGGCAGAAACGCCGATTCATCTCCAAGATTAGAATCTCGGCATTCCTCCACAGGAGGTTACTTCAGCTTTTGTAAGAACCTTCATTATATTTTTATTAACTTAATGCTTTAGAATTCTAAACCGAGAAAATATTAAATGTCAGGTGCCCAATTACTCGTTTCACCGAAAATTCTATGCGCCGAATGGTGTTATCTATATTTCATGGCCACCTCAGTGGCCGTCAAACATAGATAACCTTCATCGGCCGTGTGAATTAAAAAGCAGTCTTAAACACTAGGTTCGGCCATTAAGCTCTCTAGGTTGAGTAACGA